CTTGGGGGTTCGGATTTGGGGTTTAGGGTCTAGACTTTCCCTAAACCCCTAACCCCTAAACCCTAAACCCTAAACCTTAAACCCTAAACCCTAGGAAGAATGGAGGAAGCTTTCTTGCTTAGTGGAGTGTAAAGTTCACACAGGAATCTAACCCTCCCCCCCGGCCCCCCTGGTTGTATCAGGGGCATTGCTTAGGTTTTAGCGTTTAGGGTTTGGGGTTTAGGTTCCGCTGAACCTCTACACCCTCAAGCTTAAACTCATTAACTCATGTGAACACGCGCGTGGGCTCGGAAAGTCACCTGCAAGGAGGGGTAACTTGAAGGTTTGTTGTTAGTTCTCTAAACTAGGGTCTCTTTGTGGAGGTCCTTGTTTCTGAAGGTGCCGTACTAGATGGAAATAAATAAATAAATATAAATATATATGTATATATATATATATATATACATGTTCAAAGGACCCAAAAAGGGACCCTAATTTGGAGAACTACCCTTGTTCTTGTCTTGAGCTTTAGGGCCTAGGGCTTCTTACGGTTTGGGGCTTTGGTCTAAGGGTAGTTGCCTGGGCCCTTAAAAAGTTCCCATACCTCCTTTTGATGGCTTCTGAAGTATATATGGGCTCATGGGTTGTCTAGGGTACATAAGGGGTATGTAAGGGGTTCCCTTTTAAGGGCCCATATTAAGGGACCATGTAACTACCCTAAGATTTGGGCTTTTTCGGGTTTTGTTTTGTTTGGGCCCCCGGGTTCGGGTTTATTTTTAGGGTTAGGTCTCCTTTCTTTTTGCGGGCGGCGGGGGGTTTCTGGTTTAAGGCTTACTGCATTGGGCGTTTTCGGGACGTAGGGTTTGTAGGAGGCTTATGGTTTTTTCGGGCAGGGTTTCGGGTGCTTTTCGGAAAAATCTCAACAGGTGCCTTAGCCCCAACTCACTGCCCCACTCGTCACCTCCGCCATCTGATTTTTCCCACCCTGAACCCTCAGCGGCACAAGCAAGGAAAGAAATCCCTAACGCCCTCTCAGCCCCTAACCTCAAACACTTAAACCCTGCAACCCTGAACCCTGCAACCCGACAACCTTGAACCCCAAAGCCATACAACCCTCAACCCTACAGCCCTAAACCCTACACCCTGAACCCGACAACCCAGAACCCTACAACCCTGAACCCTAAACCCTAAACCCCAAACCGTCCCAAACCCCATTCCCTCAATCCTAAACCCTACAGCCCAAAACCTTGCAACCCTGAACCCTAAATCCTACAACCCTGAACCCTAAACCCTGAACTCTAGCCCTAACCCTAAACCCTGAACCTTAAACCCGAAACCCTCAACCCGGCACAGGTGCAGAGTGAGGTCGGCAACTGGGTTGGCCTCAGCGTGGTGCATCTGGGGGACCTCAGGGTTGGGGTTTAGGGTTAGGGTTTAGGGTTTCGGGTTTAGGGTTTAGGGTTTAGGGTTTAGGGTCTAGGGTTTAGGGTTTAGGGTTTATTCAGGGTTTCTAGGGTTCAGGGTTTCTAGGGTTCAGGGTTGTAGGGTTTAGGCCCTACTTGGAGGTTCATGGGCATTCGCAAGTAGGACCCTCAACCCTAAACCCTAAACCCTAAACCCTAAACCCTAAACCCTAAACCCTAGGGGTTCTAGGGACCTAAGGATGCTTCCTAAGTATAGTTAGTATAGTTATAGCTTGGGATGTTCCCCCTTATACTAACGCTTCCCCTTATACTGACAGTCCTTTTTGGGATTCTCATAGAGTCCCTATTAAGGACTGCTAGTATAAGGAGGAGCATCCCAAGTTAGAACCCTACTTACTTAGATCTACCCAGGAAGCTCCACGTAGGGTTGCATGTAAGGTTCAAGGGGTCGTATGGCGGTAGGGTTTATAGGACTTTGTGGTGCTTTACTGTGACTTTACATCTTTAGCCTTTTTGGGCTTATTGGGTTTCTTAAGAAGGAACCAAAAATTGAATTTATAGCTACCCTGCTAAGAGCAGCCAAGTGGACTGAGCTTTGTTGCATTGAGCTTGAGGGGTGTCCAGGATGGGTTTGGGCTTGACGGGCCACTGGGCTTTGGTGTCCTACAGGATTCTGGAGTCTTCACTTTGTGGTACTTTAGTGTAACTTTAGATCCTTATCTTTTTTGGGGGTTTATTGGGTTTCTTATTAAGGCAGCCAAGAGTTTAATTTATAGCTACCCTCCTGAGTGCAGCCAAGCTGGAGTCTTCAGGGCAATCTGCTCAGCTTTCCGGTTGTTGGAGGAAAACGAGCTCTTGGCGGAGAGCGTATGCTGTTGAACAGTTAACGATTGGGGACGTGGTAGCCCAGTGGTACCCTTGACCCTTTTTTGGGTTCTGGGTTCCCTTATACAGTAGCCAACCCCAAAAAGGGTGCCCTGACTATAATATGGTGACTGGGCTACCTAAACCCTAAACCCTAAACCCTAAACCCTAAACCCTAAACCCTAAACCCTAAACCCCATAGACGAAGTGCGATGTTGCAGCTATCAGGGTCAGGACGATTGCAAGGACTTGCTTTGCTTTGGGTTTTGGGGGGTGGCTGAAGGACTGCCAGCATCCCTGTTGCGGAGAATCTCGGAAACCCTTTAAACCCCAAACCCTAAACCCTAAAACCCTAAAAGCCTAAAAGCCTACACCCTAAACCCTAAAACCCTAAACCCTAAACCCTAAACCCTAAACCCTCAACAAGCCCATTCAGTACGGGATCGAATGATTCAGGGCCTTAATGATCTTGAGTGTTAGAGGCCCCGGGGAGGAGAGCCGAGGATGGAAGCTTTAGGGCTTTAGCATAAGGGGGCCTATAGGGGTTAGGGTTCAGGGTTCAGGGTTTAGGGTGTAGGGTTTAGGGTTTAGGGTTTAGGGTTTAGGGTTTAGGGTTCAGGGTTCAGGGTTCAGGGGTTTAGGATTTAGGGTTTAGGGTTCAGGGTTTGGGGTTCAGGGTTCAGGGCTTAGGGTTCAGGGTTCTGGGTTCAGAATAAGTTTACGGTTCAGGGTAATCAAGACCCAGGGCTCGGCGAAATGTGTTCGAGGCAGCTGAAACCCTAGACCCTCAAGCCTATATGCATGTTCCCCCTTATACCAACAGTCCTCAATAGATTGTAGCAGGGGGTACTATACTCCCCATTAAGAACTATAAGTAGCAGGGGGAAAATCCCAGCCCATGCTCTAGCGTCCTACTGAAATACTGAGCCATTGAGGGCACACCAAGACCTAAACCCTAATCCCCAAACCCTATCCAAAGGGACGATAAACCAGAGAAGTGCCCACATATGACTTTGGGGACTTTGCTGGAACGTGCGCAGCAAGACTTTTGAAAGACGCACAAGCCCTAAACCCGAAACCCTAATGAACCTGCCTTTGACTGTCTTCGAGCTTGGGGCTTAGGGCTAAGGGATATAGCGTTTAGGGAACATTCCCAATGTCGCATGATATACAACCAAGGTTGCTCTCGGTAAGCTCACTTTAGGCAGCCCAATCTACTTCGGTATAATTCCTTGCAACGGCCTTTGTTACCCTAACCTACACAAATGAATTTTGTTTTCCCTAAGCCCTAAACCCCACCCTAAACCCTAAGACCTAAACCCTAAGCCCTAAGCTCTAAACCCTAAACCCTAAACCCTTTGCTACCCTATTCTACACGAATGTTTTTTTTTTTTTTTTTGGGGGGGGGGGGGGGATCTGCAATGGAAGCCCAAATCTCCACCAGGACCGCGATGTTGGGGGGGTTCTGCAATGGAAGCCCAAATCTCCACCAGGACCGCGATGTTCCGAACGCGCTGGTCTTCATCGACAAGTGCGCGCGTTGATGCCACGGGAGTCAAGCCCAAGCTTGTTTAGGGTTTAGGGTTTAGGGTTTAGGGTTTAGGGTTTAGGGTTTAGGGTTTAGGGTTTAGGGTTTCCTCTGTCACTTTGTCCGGTTTCTGTTCTTATGGCCGGACCATTCCACAATACTACAAAAAGACTGTGATCTTGGCATGTTCACCCTTTATTCTTATTGCGAACAGTCCTTAATAGGGATTATAGTACCCCTTATGATGAGCCCAATTAAGGACTGTTAGTATAAGGGGGAACATCCCGACCCTGAACCATATACCACCCTGGACAGCCACAGGGTTTAGGGTTTAGGGTTTAGGGTTTAGGGTTTAGGGTTTAGGGTTTAGGGTTTAGGGTTTAGGGTTTAGGGTTTAGGGTTTAGGGTGTAGGGTCTAGGGTTTAGGGTGTAGGGTTTAGGTGTATTGGGCTTACATAGGATGCCCTTGAAGCCGAGCACTTTTTTAGGTTTTTGGCACTTGCTTTTAGTTTTTGCGGGCTATAATTCCTAAGAAACAGCCTAAAATCACAGCTCTTGCTAGGGTTCCAAGATCAGTATGGAGCAGAGGGTTTAGGGTTTTGGGGTTTAGGGTTTGGGGGTTTAGGGGTTTAGGGGTTTAGGGGTTTAGGGGTTTAGGGTTTGGGGTTGATGAATGAGCTGGCTTTGGTTGAGCCTTGTCTTCGAGTAGGCCTAGAAGGTCTAGATGTTTTGGGTTTAGGGCTCTAGGGTTTCGACATGTGGGTTGGGATGCTCCCCCTTCAGGCTCTTAGCGATCGGGGTTTCAGGGCTTAGGGTTTAGGGCTTAGGGTTTTGGGGTCTTGGGATTGAAGGCATTCTTCGATTTTGTGTGAGCCCTAAAGCCTAAACCCTAAAAGCCTCCATAAGCCCTAAACCCTTAACCCTCAACCCTACATGCATGACACGCCGCAAGTCTTTACACTCTCTCGGTTCATTTCAAAATTTCAAGCTGCGGGACTGAAGAGGGTGCTTAGCATGCCTGGCGTAGGGTACCTGTTCAGGTCGTACCAGCCACCTGTAGAGACTAGGGATTAGGGTTTTAGGGTGTACAGGGTTGAGGCTTTTTTGGGTCTAGGAAACAACAAGCCCACGTGCTCATTGTGCGTCACTCGAAGCTTTCTGCCGCAACAGGCTAGCCTAGCCCTTTCGTCGCTTCTCTTGCCGACATGATCCACGTCCGGCGGGTGTCAGGAGACTTTGTAGCCCAGTGGTACCCTCTACCCTTTTTTTTGGGGTTCTGGGTTCCCTTATAAAATAACGCAAAAAAGGGTGCCATATGGTTGCTGGTCTACCTAAACCCTAAACCCTGCACCCTAAACCCTAAACCCTAAACCCTAAACCCTTAATTGGGTTGCTGGTCTACCAAGGAGAGAAGGTGGCCGAGTTTCCTGCAGATCAGTTGAGCACCGTTCTCGTCCTGAAGCAGCGGCTCCAACAAATCTGTGCCTTGGGGACGAAATGAGCCCTAAAATTGGGGTCATAATACCCTATGCTACTGTAATTCCTATATGAAGGTATACGAACCCTAAACCCTAAACCCTAAACCCTAAACCCTAAACCCTAAACCCTAAACCCTAAACCCTAAACCCTAAACCCTAACCCCTTTCAGGGGTTCATTTCGTCCCCAAGGTGGCCTGCCTCGATTCAGGCTGCGTCTTCTTCGCGGCGACGCAGCATCTATATCCCCCTTGGGAACTTTTTTTTTTCAGTTTTATTTTTTTTTCAGTTTTGTTTTTTTTTTGCAACCCAAGAGGATATTAACAATAGTATTCTTATTTAGGTTGTTTTTTGTATTTTTGTTTGTTTAGAACCCAAGAGGATATTAAACCATGCTTTCTTTCATTTTTCTATTTTTGGCTTATTTAAAACCCAAGAGGATATCAGAAATAGTATTCTTTACTTAGGCTCTAGGGGGAGCATAGGCCTTGTTTGACGCCAACGAGCTGGCGCCGGGCATGCACTTGACACTGGTCCCTTGGGGACGAAATGAAGCCTAAAAGGGGTTTAGGGTTTAGGGTTTACCTGTTAATCCTGGCGGACAGAAATTTCTGTCCTTATGGTTTTTTCTGGTTTTTTGCGTGCAAAAGCGAGGTGTTGGTGTTCTATTGGGATCGGGGAATACGATCAAAGCGGCTGGATTTTCGGAGTTCAGGGGAACCTTCCCGAGCCCTGTGCAGAGTCTTGTGCACCAAAGAATAGGTGACCTGAGCAGAACACAAAAAAGCGTACTCTGAACCCAACGTTTTTCCAACATAATGTTGGGTTTTGTTGGGTTTTTGGGGGGGGGGGGGGGTAGCCCAAAAAAACGTAAACCGTACCGAATCCGTACTTTGTTGGAAAAATGTTGGGAGAATCATTAAAGCGGACGGATTTTTTGCGCGGCTGGATTTTTCCGGCCTCTTCAATAGGACAGTTTTTTATGGAACGGGGGATTGACAGGTAGGGTTTAGGGTTTAGGGTTTAGGGTTTAGGGTTTAGGGTTTAGGGTTCTTAATAGGAAGTACAGTAGTACAGGGTATTATGACCCCAACTGTTACGGCTCCTTTCGTCCCCCTTAAGGTCGTGCTGCCTCTTGCCGAAGTTTCAGAGGCCCGGAAGCGCGAGCTGCATGATGCCGCTGCCATGGGCCTGGAGCACGTGGTTGAAATCATGTTGCAGCTCGGACTCCCTTTGTGGTACTTTACTGTAACTTTAGATCCTTACCTTTTTTGGGGTTTATTGGGTTTCTGATTTTTGGCAGCTACTTAAGTTTAATGTATCGCTACCCTCCTGAGTGCAGCCGAGGGACCCGGAGTGTAGGCCCTTGTTTCCTCTTTTCTTTTTAGGGCTGGGGGGTTCCCTTAGAGAATCCCCCTAAACCCTAAACCCTAAACCCTAAACCCTAAACCCTAAACCCTAAACCCTAAACCCTGAAACCCTAAACCCTAAACCCTAAACCCTAAACCCTAAACCCTAAACCCTAAACCCTAAACCCTAAACCCTAAACCCTAAACCCTAAACCCTAAACCCTAAACCCTAAACCCAACACACACCAAAAATGGGCAACCTTTTTGTTCCTAGGCTACTCCTGGGTCTAGGCAGCGACCGCTGCATCCTGATTCAGCCAGGGATGGCTCCGTGACGCCTTTGTATGCGGCGAGTCGCGATGGCCACCTTAGTACGGTGAGGCTGTTGCTGGAGGCCTTCGCAGACGCAAACGTGGCAACGGAAGTAGGCAAGACGCCCGCCTTAGTGGCATTCGAAGGCGGTCACCGGGAGATTCTTCGCTTGCTGCTGGAGTCTGGCGCGGACAAGGATTGGAGAGATGCTGATGGGAAGACGCTCCTATGGCGGGCATGCGAAGGCGGCAATGCAGACATGGTCCAACTACTGATTGGGATTCACGCCGACGCAGAAGCCGCCTCAGAAGCCCGTGAAACGAAAGGAGAAACCCCCCCTTTGGGTGGCATGTTTCCAGGGGCGTGAAGCTGTCGTTCGGCAACTGCTGATGACCAGAGTCGACGCGAACACGCGCAATGCCCGCGGTCAAAGCCCTCTTTTCGCCGCCTGTAGGAATTCTAAACTGGATGTTGTTCCACTTCTGCTGGACGCTCGCGCTGACATGAATGCGAGCAGCGTGTTTATTGAAACATCTCCTTTGTGGGAGGCATGTGACAGCCTTCGTCACCATGACCTCGTGGGCATGTTGCTTTGTGGTACTTTACTGTAACTTTAGATCCTTACCTTTTTGGGGGGTTTATTGGGTTTCTTATTAAGGCAGCTAACTAAGTTTAATTTATAGCTACCCTCCTGAGTACAGCCAAGGTTGCTGAAGGCAGGCACTGACAAGGACCAGAACACCGCTTCTGGGGAAACCCTTCTCTGGACCGCCGCGTCCGTGAATTCCCAAAAGCATGTTCGTCTGTTGCTTGAAGCTGGGGCCAACAAGAACAAGGCTGGGACCCGGAGTAGGCGCTTATTTCCTTTTTAGGGTTGGGAGTTTCCCTTGTAATCCCCTTAAGACCAAAAAGGGTACCCTTCATGTTCCTAGGCTACTCCTGGGTCTAGTATCCCTAAACCCTTATAAACCCTAAACCCTAAACCCTAAACCCTGAACCCTAAACCCTAAACCCCAAACTACTCCCAGGCCAACAACTCCGGACAAACTCCTCTCTGGGCAGCGTCTCGGCATGGGCATGCGGACTCCGTGCGCTTGCTGCTTGAAGCACGGGCCGAAGTGGACAGATGGGACCGTGCGGGCAAAACCCCGTTGCTGGACCCTTTCCGTAGCTTTGTTTACCGTAACTTTAGATCCTTGCCTTTTCGGGGTTTATTGGGTTTCTTATTAAGGCAGCTAAAAGTTTAATTTATAGCTACCCTCCTGAGTGCAGCCAAGGTCTGCATATAATTCGCCATGAGTGTGTGGCTTATGTGCAGCTCATGGGTCCGTTAATATAATATAGCATGGTGAAGAGCATCTCCTGCGGCATTCCGAAGAGCAGTTCTGAGGCTATGGATCGCAGCATGCCATGCCCATGCGGCCGTCGTAGAGTGGTTGCTGCACGCTGGTGCCGACAAGAATGCGACGGACGCGCTGTGGGGTGCATCGCCACTTTGGGTGGCCTCTGAGTCTGACCGGCTTGCCATCGTCCGGGTGCTTCTAGAGGCCCGTGCAGACAAAGATCTGAGCTCCATCCGCGGCGCGACGCCGCTGTGGGTGGCATCATCCTGTGGCCACTTGGAAACAGCACGGTTGCTGCAGCAAGGCGCCGATAAAGACAAGAGCAATACCCGTGGTGAGACCCCTTTGTGGGTTGCTTCATGCTTCGGCCACACGGGAACAGCTCCTAAGACAGCCAGAGATGTTCTTTTGCTTTGGGGTTAGAACCCCTTACCCTGTAAGCCCTGAGCCCTAAATGCCCCTCTGCACCCTAAGCCGTGAACCCTGAACCCTAAGCCCCAAACTCCAAACCCTAAACCCCAAACCCTCAACCCCAAACCCCAAACCCCAAACCCTAAACCCTAAACCCTAAACCCTAAACCCTAAACCCTAAACCCTTCAGGTTGTTTGGGCGACCCAGGTGCGCCTCCTGCTTCAAGCAGGCGCTCAGCGAGACAAAGCGGACTCTGCCGGCGCTCGGCCGAATGAGATCGCCAGAAGGAGCGGGCATGAGGACACTCGGGGCGCAGGGTTTAGGGTTTAGGGTTTAGGGTTTAGGGTTTAGGGTTTAGGGTTAGGGTTTAGGGTTTAGGGTTCAGGGTTTGGGGTTTAGGGTTCAGGGTTTAGGGTGAAGGGTCTAGCGTTTAGGGTTTAGGGTTGGGGTTTAGCGTTTAGGGTTTAGGGTTATGGTTCATGGTTGAGGGTTTAGGGTTTACGGGTGCTTTTTGGGGGGTTCCTAGATTTCCGGTGTAAAAAAGGGCCGTTTCCCTGATTTAGGGAAATGCCCGTATGAGGACATCTGCAAGTTGCTGATGGAGGGCGCTGTCATCGACCACACCGGTCCTACCAGGAAACGCCCCTGCCGATGGCCCGTAAACCCCTGATTTCTGATTCCAATTCCTAGTTAGGGTTTAGGGTTTAGGCTTGCCCAAAAACTTCCAAAGCCCACCCTAAACCCTAAACCCATAAACCCTAAAAACCCTAAGCCCATTCCTCAACTGTCCTGCTCTACGCTGACGCAAGATTTGCTGACATCCACAGGGAGAGGAAGACGAAAGAGAAGCGTGGAGATTGAGTCTGTCGAATTTCTTCCAGAGTGTTCCTTTATAGGGTTTAGGGTGTGAGGTGTAGCGGTGTAGCCCTAGACCCTAAACCCTAAACCCTGAACCCTGAACCCTAAACCCTAAACCGGTTTTCACTTCCGGTTAAGGGATCTAGGGACGTTCAGTTCTTCTTCAGATGTTGAACAGGTATTGAACAAGACCCGACCTCTTTTCACCTGCCCCCCCCAAAGCTCTAAAAGGGTTTCGAGTGTAGGGTTTGGGCTTAAGGTCTCACCAGGGTGTAGTTAGGGTGTAGGGTGTGGGGTTTAGGGTTTATAAGGGTTCGGGCGTGCGGCCCCGTTGGGTTTAGCAGGATGTTGGTGGATTAAGGTATACTTCTTCCCCGCACACTCCCAAGGGTAGAGGTTTGCACTTACAGGAAGAAGGGCTTGTGGTTTTGGACTCCGTGCTTTCTGTTTTTCATATATCCACGCTATCCGTTATGGTGTTTTTTTGTTCCTGAACAGCCCCCTAAGCCTCAAGCCCTAAAAACCCAAAACTCCCCAGAAAAAAAACCCCGAAACCCAGGCCATCACCCTTTTCTGGGGCCTATCCCTAAACCCTAAACCTTAAACCCCAAAACCCTAAATCCCCTAAACCCTACAAGGCTCCCCCCCCCCCCCCCCCCCCCCCCGGAATAACCCTAAACCCTAAACCCTAAACCCTAAACCCTAAACCCTAAACCCTAAACCGCTTGAAGGTACACGCAAGTGCCTCGGATCTTGGGACCGCTTGTGCGCACGCTCGACAAGCTTCCGGAGGTGGAGATTTGGGGCAACCTGAGCCCTTAGAAGTTTAGGGTTTAGGGTTTAGGGTTTAGGGTTTAGGGTTTAGGGTTTAGGGTTTAGGGTTTAGGGTTTAGGGTTTAGGGTTTAGGGTCTAATCAGGGTTTAGGGTTTAGGGTTTGGGGTTTAGTGGTGCAGGGGTTACGACATGTTGAGGGTTAGAGTTTAGTGTCTAGGGATTTGGGGTTTAATGGTTCAGGGTTAGACTGTATTTTGCCGAGTTGTTTAGCATTACTGTATAGTGTGAAGGCGTCTAGGTGGCTATAAACGCTTGTCAGGGTTTGGCGTTTATACGCACCCCTAAACCTCAAACCCAAACCCCAAACCCCGTTTGGGTCTAGAGTTCAGGGATGGCATGGGGGGACCCCAACCCCCTAGGGTTTATAGTGTTTAAAGACCCTTTAACGGATTTTTAGGTAACTGCAGCGTACACAAAAATGTAGGTATAGGACTTCTCAGGTAGGGTGCGCTGGGTGCGCATCCCCGAAACCCTAAACCCTAAACGCACAGTTGAGAGAAGGACTTTCGCGTCTTTTAGGGTTGGGTTGCGCCCGATGCATGACCTTGCATGACCTTTCCTTCTCGCCTCCAAGAACTTGAGAAGGTAGGGTTTAGGGTTTAGGGTTTAGGGTTTAGGGTTTAGGGTTTAGGGTCTAGGGTCTAGGGTCTAGGGTCTAGGGTCTAGGGTCTAGGGTTGAGGGTGTAGGGTTTAGGGTTCAGGGTTCAGGGTTAGGCCATAGGGTTTAGGGAATAGGGCCCTCAGGGACTAGAACTTGTTACTCAGTTCAGGGTTCAGGGGAGTGTTTTTTTTGTAGTACCCTAAACCTTGAGACCTAAACCCTCTTTGTGGTACTTTGCGGTAACTTTAGATCCTTACCTTCTTTTGGGTTTATTGAGTTTCTTATTAAGGCAGCTAAAAGTTTAATTCATAGCTACCCTCCTGAGTGCAGCCAAGAACCCTAAACCCTGATGGCAAGTCAGCTCAGGGTTTCCCGTAGGGTTGAAGCCTTTCGGCTTCGATACACCCAGGAATCCGACACTTCTGCTTGGTGGCTCTCTCTACATAACCCCGTACAGGATTCTCAGCTTTCGGATATGGGGTAAGGTTGGCCAGAATTCTCCTAGCTGATTGCAAATTGTGCCTCAAGTATGAGTCAAGGGTTTCAGGTTCCCTAAACCCTAAACCCTAAACCCTAAGCCCTAAACCCTAAACCCTAAACCCTAACAGTTTCAGGTTTGCCTTTAGGGCGTCTGGCCTCCAGGTGTACGGCTCGTCACCCGCTATCAAGACCTACATCGACACCGAGTTCAAGGGAGTCGAGGCTGGACTTCGCGTGAGTCGTGCAATAAGCATTTATCAGATCTGGGGTTTTCGAGATTAGGCTACCTTAATGGAGTCCTTGTTACAAGGGAATCCTACGATGTGAGGACCTATATTGGGGGGCGGGCCCCTTATTTTCGTAAACCCCAGCTCATCAGGGTTTGTTGTCAGGATATGAGATCTTAGTTGGGTGGCTCTTGGGGCCAAAGTTGCCAGGCCGAGTTTGGCTCCTAAGCCCCAAAACCGGCGTGGTTTAGGGTTTAGGGTTTATGGTTTGGGGTTTAGGGTTTAGGGTTTAGGGTTTAGGGTTTGGTTCGACTTGTTTGCTGGTGATTGCGGTCTATGGGGTACAAGAGGATCTTCGGATGTCATGTTCGGAACCTTCATCCCCTAATTCGAAACTGCCTTATATAGCTCCTTAACCTAAACCCTAAACCCTAAATCCTAAACCCTAAATCCTAAACCCTAAACCTAAACCCCAGACCTACAAACACACTGATGTCCCCTCCCCCACGCAGCCTTTTGGCTGCATGGCCGCCAGGTTGTGCGGATGGCGATCATGCAGGACACTGGTTGAAGACCCGAAACCCTAAACCCTAAACCTAAACCCCTAAACCCCTGAACCCCTGAACCCCTAAACCCTAAACCCCTAAACCCTAAACCCCTAAACCCTAAACCCCTAAACCCTAAACCCTAGGATGCAGCTCTGCAAGCTTGTGGGGAGCCCCCTTATCGGGCCAGCGGGCTTTGGGAGCCAGGGGGGGGTGACGTGTTAAGAGGGTGGTAGGGTTTAGGGGTTAGGGTTTAGGGGTTAGGGTTTAGGGTTTAGGGGTTAGGGTTTAGGGTTTATGGTTTAGGGTTTAGGGTTAGGGGTTAGAATTAGGGTTTAGAGCTTAGGGTTGAGGGTAGGCCGATGTGGAGAGTCCATGAGGTGGAGTGGGTGACTCTCTTCAGTACTCCTTCCGACGCCACATACGTGCCTTAAACCCTGTAATCCCTCGCAACAACCCCCAAAACCCTAAATCCTAAATCCTAAACCCTAAACCCTTAAAGCAAGTAGGTGGGGCGGGGGGGGGGGAACCTACAGGTCTTTGTGGGGGGGCGGGGGGGGGGGGGGCACCTGCTGGTGTTTGGGAAGGTCTCCATCAAAAAAGGCTTTCGGAGCACGTCAGGTTGCAGAGGTTTAGGGTTTAGGGTTTAGGGTTTTGGGTTCAGGGTTTAGGGTTTAGTGTTTAGGGTTTAGGGTTTAGCGTTTAGGGTTTAGGGTTTACCGGTTTAGGGTTTCAGGTTCATGGTTTAGGATTTAGGGTTTAGGGTTTCAGGTTTAGGGTTTCGGGTCGAGGGTGAAGAGCACGGCTTGTTGCAGAGGACTTCTTCCGACATGGCTTTGATGGCAGCGGAGACGACGGCGGTTCTTGCGTAGACGGCCGGGAGGGGTAGACGGCCGGGATGGGGCGGAAACTTCAATCCGACACCTCCATCAACCCTAAACCCTAAATCCTAAACCCTAAACCCTAAACCCTACCCCCACCCACCTTCACTTATGCCGGAACCAGCCACGAAACCCGACACATCCCGGCACCCCGAACCCGAAACCTTCGACATTCCGAAAACCCAGCACTTTCGACCCGAAGTCATCGAAAGGGAGAGGTATGTTGAATATCCCTTATACTAAGAACCAGAAAGTTTGCGTGCCCCAGGCCTTGGGGTTAGGGATTATAGGGCTGAGGTTCAGAGTTTCTCAACAACCACCCTCGAATTGGCCTTTTTTGGCTTGTGGGGTCAGGGACTCAGGGATTTCAGGTTGGGGAGTTCTTGAAATTAGACGCAAAGGAGTGGGCGGTGGGCAGTGGGGGGGCGCTGGGCGCGTGTTCTGCATGTTGCTGTTAGCAGTTTGGGGTTTAGGGTTTGGGGTTTAGAGATTAGAGTTTGGGGTTTAGGGTTTGGGGTTTAGGGCTTAGAGTTTGGGGTTAGGGTTTAGGGTTTAGGGTTACGTACCCTAAACACCCTGAACCCTAAACATCCCTAATCCCCAAAACCCCTAAACCCGAATCTCCTAAAGCCTTAGACCCTTAAACCCTTGAGACTTCTGTTTCTACCCAAAGTGTGCTGCAGCCGCTGCACGGCCCCAGCGCTAAAGGTGGGCAAAAGCAGATTTGTAGCTTACATGGGTTTAGGGTTTAGGGTTTCGGGTTTAGGGTTTATGGTTTAGGGTTTAGGGTTTATGGTTTATAGTTTCTCAAGCTTTTCGCAGGTTGATGCTTTACCCTGAGAACGGGTAGGTACAGGCAGCAACAAAGGTTCAGGTCCTTTTCCGAAGGCTATAGGCGCTAAACAGGGTACACATGGATAGGGCTCCTGGCGAGCTTTGCAAGGAGGGGCCCCCCTTACTATACTCGCTATAGTTACGGGTCTTATAGCCTAAGTGCACATCCTTACAACCTAATTTAGGGTCCTTGGATATCTCTACTTATAACTAGGGGGCCCCTCCTTGTAGAACTACTACGCCTTAGGTTATTAGTCTCGTACTATAAGCGGGCCCTCCCTAAACCCTCAAGTTGGCGCTGAACCGTAAACCCTAAACCCTAAACCCTAAACCCCAAACCCCAAACCCCAAACCCCAAACCCCAAACCCCAAACCCTAAACCCTAAACCCTAAACCCTAAACCTAAACC